TTCCTCAGAAGTTCGACAGACTCCATTGAAGGATCTGAGTTTTCTCTTGTAGCAGAGCCAGCCTAGATTTCCCAAAAGGAGGTTGTATTTGTTTAGCATTCCCACAGCATGTAATTGTTGTTCGTATTTGGAGAGCTTATAAAACTTTGCAGCAGTCGGAAATGTGGTGACGTCCCTTCCTTGTAAATGAATTTATTTGCCTGCTTTTTAATTCCCATCTATGCTTTCTACAGCCACATGAAATCTTGTGGTTTTGATCTCCTGGTTCAGTTCACGTTCATAAAACATATGTGAGCCAAGTCTCTCAGCCAGAGGGGAAATGCTCAAGAAATAGGCCCGGCATTGATGTGTAAATTAAAACAACAGATGTCACCATGTTTCATCAAGGACGAGGAACACAGAATAGATTGCTGATAATGGCTCAATCAGGGCTAGCCATAATGCAGCATAACGACTCTTGTAAACAGCGACATATCTGAAATTAAGTGTCACACATTAAAGTCACTTTAAACATATTGTTTTTAGGAGGTTTTTCAAAGCTGGTCCAGTGCAGCACAGCAGTAGAGCAGTTGGACAGAAAACTGACCAGTGTTTAATGTAAGGCCAGTCCAATGACAGATTGATCCAACATGTGTGCCTTCAGGTTGCTTCTCAGTCCAGCAACTTGGGGATTAAATACAAAAAATCTAATCTTTACTGTGGGTGACTGTCCCTATGTGACTCGGTTTTGTTTGCAATCTGTGGATATATGTCAAGATAAAGTAGTTTACCAAAGCTCAAGGGTCCAAAGGTTCTGATCTTTATTTCATTTTTACTGATCATTTTATATGTAGTTGTTAAATTGGCAATTCATTGGTTCCATCCTGATGACTCAGGTGATCCCCTGATTTAATCTGGAGCCACTATGCAGCGGAATGTTTCATTAGATTAACTCCAGATTAATTGTAATAATTTAAGAGATTTTGTGACTTTTATCACCAGTATCATATTTTTTATGGTAAATGTTCTGTATTTATTTATTCATATTGCTTTTCTAGTCTTGATCACCGATCAAAGCACTTTAGAGCACAGTTTATTGCCATTCACCCATTCACACACATTCATACAGTACATTATGGGCAGCACTTTTTGTATTTTTTGCTAAGTTATAATTCTCATCATTTAGAATAGCCTTTAGAGCTGCGGGGGCGTCTTTGATTAAGGAATAGACCCAATTTGTATATTTTTGATTTCTTCTTTTCTTTGCTGCCTCCCATCAGTTAAAAACAATACAATACAATGAACTTGGTCTCTGCCCATGGAACTGATGGACACATTTAATAACAAATAGAGTGTACAAGTGAGATCTGATCACATGTAGAGACACATATTAATACCATATATGAACAGGGTCAAGTAAGATGTCTAACTTGTGTGTCTGGTAAGCAAATAAGGCTAAACTTATCAACTTAACTCATTGCATTTTTACACAAAAAAGATCATGTTTTACTTTCCTCCTGCATTCTGTGTGTTTGGTGTCTGGATTTCCGTTCCTTTTTCTTCATAATTTGTGGAGTGGCTTCTTGTCCTATCAGAGGAAGTAAATGAGCCAAGCCTCCTTTCCTCCATCTCCTTCATTTTATATCCTTTCAGACCCAAGGGCCAGTTTGAGTAATAGTAATTGACACATTGATCTAATAGGGCCATCATAATAGGCCTGTTACTGAGCTGGGGAATGGTGCTCGGCGTCACCTTAACATGTGCAAGGACTGACATCCCGCCATAATCCATAATGATAATTGTGATTTAGCCTTGCTTTCAACCTACGCCCCAATGTCCCCGGCATCAGGAAATCATATTACATCTGACCCCGCATTGCCTCCATTAGAACTAGGTCATTTGTTAAAATACTGCAAAGGCAAACAATTGAACGCTGTGCCATTTTTATTCTATAATAATGGGTTATCATTGTCCCTTTGAATCAATTTCTAGAGGCCCATTTTTCGGGATAGAGCTTCGAATTGGATTGATTGGACTCTGATAATGCTGAAATCGATGATGTAGCCGCCTGAAAGTAAATTATCGTTGGGTGAAATGTTTGTATTAATCTTAATTCCTGTGCTCTTGATTGGTAATGGTAAACGTGCTTGCAGCATTTGGACCTTTGAAATGTTGACAGAGACGTTAACCATCAGGGTGGAAAAATGAATCAGGGATTGTTCAAATCGTTTTCTCTGTGGCACCTCCTCTGTCTTCTTCAGTAAATATTCAATGTGACTGGAGGCAGGAACACACTTCTGCAAACATCCAAGCAGTCTCTCTCTCTCTCTTTCTCCCCCTCCCTCCCTCTTTCTTTCTCTCTCCTCTCTCTCTCTCTCTCCAACACACACGTGACACATACACTCCCAATGGGTTTAGCTCATTTATCAATCATCAGGATGTTTGCTTGATATTGTTTTAGCAGTTATTTCATCGTGCAACTCAGGGTGTGTGTTACTGCCTTTGTTTGTGTTGAGGAAAAATGTATTGTGTGTCAAAGTATTGCCTTTGATGAGTGTTAGCAATGCCGGATGATGGCTTTATCACTGGCTGATGGAGTCCGGTTTGTGTCTGCGGTGTCAGCTGCTGCCTGGAATCATGGTCCTGCATCGGCTCAGAGTGCCAGAGTCTTTGACAGCTGTGCACACAGTTTACAGAAAGTGTTCTATTCGACCACTGTAGTGGGTGGAGCCTTATTTTATAGCTGCAGTTATATGGCTTTTATTTCGGGCCTTCTCAATGACATTCCTGCAGTGTGATTGGTAACTTCTGAGAAGAGGTAGGGAGCTAATGTACATTTTTGGCAGACACTTCATCTATTTATTCATATAATGTCCGTCTTTCTCAAAGAGAAGCTATCCTCCTAAGTGTCCCTAACTGAAAACAAATAAGACAGATTCTTACAATCGTGTAATTTCATTTTATATAAATTTTTAAAGGACTATACCAGGGGTCAGTTTGTCCATGACTGTAGTCAAGAATGAAATATATCGACAACTATTGGATGCATTTTATGTTCCCACTGAAGAAGTCTTAATGACCTTTAATAGCCGAGTTCATCTAGCAACATCACATTATCAGTCTCAGCTGTTCTTTGTTTTTACTGTTAAAAAGCAACTGTTATTAAGCAAAGATCATGAAAAACATGGTGAACGTATTATCAGCTAAAAGTTAGGATGCCAAAGATTTAAGCCATTTGTGGACATGTGAGCATGATGAGGCTATAACCTCAGAGAGCTGCTAGCATAGTTGTAGAATTTACTTCTAGGACTCTATAGACATGTTAGTTTTCATGCAAACAAGGTCCTGCACCAAATTAAAAGCCCCACTGAAGCTGGTTAAACAGCAGTGTGCTCAGGTATCACACTTTTTCCACTTTCCTTATCGGTAAGTGCTTCCATTTTCACTATTATGTGGCCATTTAAAGTATTTGCTATACTATAGGTGATTTTCTCCACTGTTTGCCAATGATACCTCACAAAGTTTGTGCATGTGTCAGAGTGTAGAATGGGAGAAGCAGAGATTTTTCCACAATAAAGAAGAAAAGGAGGAGCAGTAATGGTTTTCAAGGCAGACAGACCTTGAGACAGTTGGTCAGTGGAACAGGGTGTTCTGCAGGAATATTCAACATGGCTGAGGTCATCTGTATCGTGTAATGGATGAAAGTCTTCCCATTATGAGCTCGTCATTTGAATAATGTCCAGATTTCCCTCAGGGACTTGGCAATAGCTGTCCACTGTTTAAACTTGTTATTTCCTAATGGTGTCTTGCACAGGCTCTAGTCAGCAGGAAGGGGGTTCCCTCATTGATCACGTTGTCAAATCAGCCTAACCTCCCCTCCTAACCTAACCATCACAGCCTCCATAGAACCAATGCAAGCATTTGTTTCCTCCTTCTTTTACAGCGGCACATAATTATTGTTTTTTATTAGGAGCTAGACTTTATAATCTTCTCTTTACAGGAGAACTTCACATACTTTGACCTTAGTTGTAATTTTAAGATCCAGCCAGTGCTTCCTGTTCGTCCATGCAAAGACTGATGAAGCATATAACTGCAATCTGTATGCACAAGCAGACTAAATAGACTGTTGAAAGCACTTAGTCCTGTGGCTCAAGAAATAAAACTAACACCACATTTCACCCCTGCATCCTCAGCCAACGCGGCACCACAGGCCTCACCAAGAATGAAAGAGAGCTAGAAGACCAGCAGAGGCTTTCCTTGCAGACAGAGGAAAGGGGCACAGGGGACGGGTGGTAATGGTAGAGGGGGAGCTTGGTTGATTAAGATTTATGTTTAAATTTCCCTCTGCCACCAGCCGCTGCCTGCCTCATGTAGCCCTCTTCTTTGCTGTGTTGATAGAAAGGCTTCTAGCAAATGTGTTGCATGACAAAGCATTTCCCCTTTTGCCCTACATTTTCCTCCCTTTCACAATGTGGGTCCTCAGAAGAGGCAGGCCGGTGAGAAACACACACTGTATGAGTTCTCCAGGGATCTGTCGGGGGAAACAGTGTAGAGATGGTTAGAACAAAATGTGGCCAGTGTTTTTATTTTCTCTCTGCGTGTGCTTAGGGGTTTAGTGTGATACTGTAGTGAGAATTACTGAAGAAAGAATATAAATCTGACTTCTAATATTGGCCAGCCTCACCGACAGAGGTAGTGGAATTTAATATTTCAAAGTGTCATAGATACAGTTGTACTTAAAAGTGGTACACAGCTGGTGTGTAGACAGTTCTATATAGTTCTATTCATCAAAAATGAATGTTAAAACTGTGTAAAGTTACTTTTTGATAAAAGAAAGGAGAGAAAACTAAGAAAAGGCGATGACATACATTTTTATCAATATTTAGATTTTATTAGCAATCTCTTCTGGTTAAATGTGTTATAAAATGTCTGTTTAAATAACAGTCATCACACGTCTGTATCGTGCCCTGAAGTTTAATCTACAGTTAAAACTGACAACAATCACTGTTTTCTGTTTTCAGGACAAGCCCCCCCTACTGTTGTGTTGACCTGTATTCTCTACGGACAGGGGAAATGGTCAAATCAATTCAGTTCAAGACACCTATCTATGATCTTCACTGCAACAAACAGTATGTAATGGAAAATAAACTGTACATCAAATGATACCAGGCAAATTAAATTAAACATTGCTGTATTGAATGGAGTGTTTTCTCCTTCCTCCAGTATTCTTGTGGTGAGCCTGCAAGAGAAGATTGCTGCGTTTGACAGCTGCACCTTCACCAAGAAGTTCTTTGTCACAAGTAAGGATTGAAGATGCATGATGTTTGAGACCTGGTTTGATATTTATCCTGCTGTCAGCACAACACAGCGTATTTGTAAAATAAGTGAAACTGCAGTATGACACCTCGAACCTGTCACTTCCTCCCTGGCATCACAAGGAGGAACGTTTGTTTGATACATAAAAAGATCAATCGTTGTTTAGATCAGATTTTCGTCACACATGAAATGTTATTAGTTTATTGTCATTGGAAAAGTGTATTTGTGAAACGTTGGGACAAACCTCCGGTGTTCTGAACCATGTGCAGTAGTGCAATCAAACCGTGTCTGTTACGTAAGTTAACACTAACATTGCCAAACATGATCAGTGACTCTGTCACGTTGGCATCACACAAGCCAAACAAACACAAAGCAGATCATTGGTTGTAATACAGCCAATCTATGAGGCTGCTGCAGTGCGGTACTCTCTAGCCGTGTGTCTTGACTGCAATGCTTTTATCAGTGCATGATGTGGAGCCCTCCATTTGAAGCTCAACACAGGAAAAGTGTTTACAACACAGCTCTTGCATTCTCCTGGCTGTACCTGCCATGTCTGCTGAAGGATGCTGTGAAAGAAAGGCCAGACTGTATTACAAGGCCATTGCTGTCCACTTAAGTCATTGACTGGAGTAAACTGACCTTACAGGCTGGCTTTAATGTGTCTCCTCTTTGTCTGCCTCCCTTCCATATCAGTGTCTGGGCCACAGGAAACCAAACATGCTCAATAGTTATTAATCGTTTCAGAATACTGGGGCCTCCTTTTCATAATGCCGTTCAGTCTGTTTGGGCCCTAAAAGCAGTAAACAAAGGGTTCTGTGAGGTACGCAGACCTCTGTGTTGGACCAGATGTTCTACTGTCGTATGTCCTCCTCTCCAGGGATGTGGTGGTGGAGATGTCATGGCTCATCTCATGTTTATGGTCTTACGTTGTATTCAAGTGGTGTAGACTGATGAGCCGCGGCTCAGTCACCACCGGCAAACCTTCTTTTTCTGTTCATCTTGATTGCATGGTCTTGTCCAGCTTAACAACACCCAGTAATCATGGTTTGGTACCTATCTTTTACGGTACAGTAAAAAGATGTGTGTGGCAACTGGTAAAGTATAAGTTTCATGTAATATTAATAATAATTACTGTGCTTTTTCTCTTTGAAGCAAATAATTATTGCCACTGCTCTCACTTTTTACCAGTTATAGATTTAGCATAAAACCACCTTTCATACATAATGCTTGCACGCCTAGGTGCTTCAAAGAAAAGTGAATAATGCAGTGTTGCATCGACACAACTATTATCAGAGTTTTTTGACATTTTGAAATAAGAGCAGCTGATACAGAGCTGAAATTAAAATGATTAGACACACGTTCACATTTATAGGACTGGATTATCCACCAAATGAGAGCTGTCAACCTCAATTTCCCATCACAGCTTTCTGCTTTCCCAACACGATGAAACTCACACAGGTGTGTGGTGTTTCTCCTCTGAGGAAACCCGTGTGCCATATCTGGCTCCAGGGATTTTGGTTGATAAAGATAATCTTAACCTGGCTTTACATTTGGAGCTGGATGATTTTATACCTTAAAGCTCCTTAGCTATCTAAATTATATTATTCTCTTACGTTAAATCATAAAAAGAAGAACCTGGGAACTACCTAAGCAAAAAAAAGCCCTGCTGATCAGATTTGCTCATGCTCTCTTAACTGTGTAGTGAACAACTCACGCTGCACACAGCTTGTGCAGTTCCACCCAAATCTGTTTTTGTAATTTCTTATTCACTGCATATTTTCCTTTGACAGCGAGAGCTTGTCTCACTCTGTCTGGTCTGTCATGTGTTTCATGTTGATCGTCGAGAGCGTGATGGTTGAAAGTAAGGATTGAGTTGGTGAGAAAAGCTGTTGGCTTGGTGGCTTGCGTGTAAGACTTTATTTTGGTACTGGTCATGGCAATAGGGTTCAGCCTTCTTGAAGCCTGATCCCCGCTTACGCTTCCTTTGATTCCAACCATCATGTGTTTCCCCTCCCCACTCAGCCCACGCTCTCCTGCCCCCCCCACCCCAGGATGTCAAACACATGTTATCTCACCGCCTGGGCTCCCCTTGGCCTTGGAGAGGCACAAAAGGCTTCTCTGGCGCTACCAACAACCCTTGTGGCTTACCTCAATTTCCCCCCACAACACCCCAACCCACCCCGCCCTCTAACACAGCACACTACATTACTGTCTGCCTCCACCTCATCTGCTCCCAGAGCACTAAATTATTGTCAGCAAGCCTTTCCCCCACACCTCCATGCATTAGCTGTGTGTGTGTGTGTGTGTGTGTGTGTGTGTGTGTGTGTGTGTGTGTGTGTGTGTGTGTGTGTGTGTGTGTGTGNTGTGTGTGTGTGTGTGTGTGTGTGTGACGACAGTTCATGGTCTCCAACACAGCATGTGTGATCATTATTGAATCAACATTTTGTTGCCTGTGTGTTTAGACATGCTGGAACTTAGTTGCGATGTTAGTCAAAGATTGCTCTATGTTCTTGTTTGTTTTGTAGTTGTTTACTTGCACATCTGTTTGAGTGGGAATAGAAAATTCCTTCTTATAATCTCCAAGACATTTATCTGTTAGTGAACACAGGGTTTTGTTTGTCACTTAGGGTTATTTGTTGCTATTTTTACTTCTGCTGACATCCCACCAGTTCGGTTTGCGTGTAAATGTGTGCAATTGTGTTTGTGTGCATGTCCCCACAGGGATTATTGTGCTGGTCAATCAGCAGAGGAGTCATCCTCAATTTATTGGGTACCACAGTCTCCATTAGGTCATACTCTGCACACCATGTACCAACACGTCACCCTTATAAGACTCGATTTTTCTTCCTAAACAAGAGACTCCCCACAAACACATTAATGGTTTAAGATGGTTACAGACACTCTCCAGGCAGGAGGCTTATGAAAATTCCTGCATATGTGTTTGGTTTTTCTTTTTTCCCCTGTTCAGACAAACCTTAGTCGAGGATATTTACAAAAATGTGTATGAATGTTTATTTCTGTTGTAATTACACAATTAATCACAATTACTTTGTGTCCTCTCAGGCTGCTATCCTTGCCCTGGCCCCAGCCTCAATCCAATATCTCTCGGAAGCCGTTGGCTAGCCTATGCTGAGAACAAGGTAGAGTGCACCGACACACACAAACACACACACACACTCATCCATTGCGGCAGTGTCTTATCAGAAAAGCGACATATTTACAATCCAAAAAATGTATTTTTATCTATTTTCTGCTTCTTTAATCTCTCTGGATAAACAACTCATTCCTAGAAGAGTCCACTAGAGATGATAACATTTTGAAAATCAACAGATGCACAGGAGTTTTCTGTTCTCTTCTCTTTAATGGGATTGTTAAGTATTTACAAAAACCACTCTGCAATACATTTATTGCATAATAGTGTTTTGGTGCTGGGCCACTCAGGTAATTGACAGATGGGTCCACTGTTTGTGTGACTGCCTGAGGATTTCCAGAAATGACAAAATGTAGTTTTATGAATAGCAAGAGTAATATTGGGGCAGAATCAGTCAAGAGATATTGTATTTGGAATTTAATCACTGTAGATTGGCTGTGTGGTTGTGCAATGTTTCTTCGAAAAAGAAACAAATTTCCCCCAAAGAGTGAAGCTGGGAACTTTCCATAGTCTCATTCTGTCTTCATACATCTTCTGTAGACCTATAATGCATGTCTTGTACTAATGTGGACGTGTTTTTGCAGTTGATAAGATGTCACCAGTCTCGTGGAGGAGCTTGTGGTGACAATGCACAGTCCTATACAGCTACAGTGATCAATGCTGCCAAAGTAAGTGACAACACAAAGACACACTTTTCTGTTTTTCAATTATATTGTTGACTTCCTGTCTTATATGCCATTCAAGAGAATGGCAAAGTGAACCAGAATCATTGCAGGGGTTAGCTTAAGGAGCTACATTTAAACCACCTCTGGTGGACTGAACAGAGGTTTAACTAACTGAGACTGAGTCAGCCACACTGCTCAACACATCAATTATAAGAGTTATTTTGATTTCCAAACAGAAGAGGATGGAAGATTGGATGTCTTGCTATGACTAACGATATTTACCGAAACAGTACATGAACTTGTCAGATGTGTCCCAATTCGGGAGCTGCTTCCTTTCAAAAGCTCCCAATGCAGCCTAGAAAAGTGTCCTTCCAATACCCAGCAGCAAAGGATCAAATGAGGGCTAACCTATCTCAGTGAGGAAGCTCACAAGGTAGCAAAAGCGAATAAGCTTCAGTCAGTGCCATGGCTCAAAGTAGCTAATGATGCAATGATAAGGGCGGGACAAGCTGGTGACACAAATAGCAATTCCGTAGACCAGACCATCTCCTTTTGGTTTGGCCTTCAGAGCTCGAAAGCTAAAAAACAATAAAGGGCCAGAAGACCTCAGCTTTACTGGTTCATCTCAGCAGTTAATTCTCATAAATTAGTGGTGAAAATTCTTGGTGCCGTTGGCCAGAAGCTAATTTCATTGCATTTCACATTTTAGCTCTTTTTTTGTTTCCAGCTTAAGGCTCCTGCACACACGAGGATAATCGGGCTGATTTTAGACCCGATTGGCCCCTTCCTTGTGAAGGCTTTACAAAATAATCTTAATGCTATCATTTCAGTCGCAGCCTCCCCAATCTCCAATAATTGGCTCAGACAGAAACCCACAATAGCGCGAAAGAGGGAGCTGCTCGGAAACCATCACCAACCGGATGTTGTGTTCTCGTTCGGCTGTGACTAAAAATAACATTACTACTTAGAGGACTATGTCCTCTCAGCCATGACCACATTTTGTTTTTCTTCTCAAGTCGCGTTTAATCGCACAAGTGTTCCACACTCCAGTTCAGCAGGTGGCGGTAATATACTTAGAAGTTGCTTGCCAACAGTCTTAAAAAAAATCAAGAAAAAGTTGATATTGAAGGTTTCTGAGAGATTTCAAGTCTCTGGAAATCGTTTCCTACAAACGTGTGGTCTGTTATTCTGGCAAGATCGTCCCGTGTGTGCGTTTTGAAGGTTAGAAGATTAAAAATGGGTTTCCCACGATCTTAAAATCAGTCAGGAGTTGCAGCAACACTTACGCTGGCTGGTTTGCAATTTCTTTGTGTTTTTATTAATGGAAAAAATAAACCCCATATTTCCAGCTCTGGTTTCTCAGTTGTGTTAACCATGTCGATGACACTTGCTATATGAACTACACATCCAGGGACTAGCTTGGTTTAGCAGCCCACTGCCCTTCAGAATGAATCTTATTCATACAGCAGGACATGGTGTATGAGGCTAGTTTGACTGAATTGATTTACTTCACAGGGTTTACTGAGGAGTTGCATTTCAAAGCAAATATCCTGAAACAGAACAGTGTGGGATAAAAACAACATGTACTCTCACGTCCCCACGTTCTGTTAGTAAAAGCATTCAAATGCGAGTTTTGTTTGCGAATATAACAATTAACAAAAGATGTTTTGAGATCGCTATAGACTCCTAAATTGGGTAAGTAAAACAAACTCCAGTCTGCACCTTTACGTTTTAAAATCATATCTTTTGCCATTTCTCACCACAGGAGGACTGGCACCATGTAGTTTTCCATTATCTTTAAAAGTTTGGAGAAAGTAGTTACTGTCTGGCTGTAGTTAGAAGGTCTACTCTTTCTTAAGCCACCACGTTCTTTGAAAGGCTCATGACACAGTATTTCAGGTTCTGCCTACACCATCTCTAAATGTGCTGACATTGGATCCACCTGGTGCGCCCTGCTAACTGGTGCTGAGCTTATGAGACACTTCATCAACCTGCCTATCTGTTTTTTTATACCGCTGTAATCTGTTCCACTCTCACGGTCTTGTTTCACTCATCTCCACAGGGGAGTGACTCTCACTAACAGCCAAAAGCCCCCTTTGATACCAGATGACATTCATTCCTGGTCTGATTTAGCTGCTCGCAAACACATGCTAACTAGCTAGCTCCTCATATGGTTCTAGTCTGTTTATCCATTCGGTCCCAAAGAAGATGCTAATTGATTTACAAAGAGCAAGTGTATCCTCCCTTACCTTACAAGTCCTAGCTGCTGTTGTGAGAGAAGTGTCATTAGCAGGCTAATGAAGGTGTACATTCAAAAACAACCCTGACACAAACAGATTAGCAGCATGGTAAGGAGTAGACAATGGCCAGGGGGTATTGATATGCAGACAGGCAGTCTGCTCGCCTGCCCTCTCCTCATTTAGGACCATATATCTCAATATGGATGACAAGGTATCTCCTTCTGGCTTGTGGCGCGACACGCTGGCTCTTAGTGCTGACGTCCAGAGACATGGAAACAAAAAGGGTGGGGGTTTGGGAGGGGGGGTTGCATTAAATTGTAATGGCTTTTGTTTATAAAAAGGATAAAAGAGTGAGTGCAACGGCTCTGACCAACTGGACTCCCGATTCTAAATCTGCTCACCGTAAATCACATCAGTCCTGTTACCTATCACTCCTGGGTGTATGATTGAAGAATAAGGATGTAATTTGTTTAGATGGCGACATCGGGCCATAACTGTGTGTGTTGTGTATGTGTGTGTATATGTGTTCATGTGTTGTTCAGACATGATCTGCGTCCAGACTCCCCCTCTCCACCGGCAGATCAATAGCCCCTGTTTGGACTACCACTAAGAACTCCACAACTGCAGTGATTAGAAAACACATTAGTGTTGATCAATTAGGAGCCAAACGCCTCCCTTAATAATTGATGGCTCCTGTGGAATCTCACACACACACACAAATGCAGGCGTACACACACACACACACAGGCAGCAGACACTGTTAGTGTGCCTGGCCAAGTGGCAAAGAGAGACAGTGGGTGATCCTCAGACCCAACAAACGCAAGGCGCCACACTCTATTGACAGGGCCGCCTAGTCTGAATGCCTGATTAGGCTCTCCGGGGCCCCTTTGGCGCTTACACACACAAAGACACACAGTCACACGCGTTGGACTCCATTAGCAAAAGACAGTGTAGTAGGTGAGATAGACTCCACTTAAGCAGCACTATCCATTTCCCTCGATCGAGCCACAGAGGTGTGTTTGAGCCAGACACCCTGGCTGGGCCTTAAACGGACACAGAGGAGCACGCGCCCGCACGCACACACACACACACACACACTTGGGTGTCTTGTGTGGCTACAAGTCATCTGCACTACACGTTATCAGCAGGCATCAAGTGAACATGGTGCATGCACACAGAGACACCAGAGACACACACAGAGCATTGTACATTACATTTGTACATACACCCATGTACCTGGCAGCTGTCTTGCTCAGATTCCATCCCATCAGCAGTTTCAATCTAAGAGAATTATTATTAAATACAGTATATCACATATGTGCAGACAGTGTCAATGCTTTTTATTATGTGTTGATTTGATTTTTAAGCACAAATCTAATCTTGTTTTTGCTTTTCTTCCAGACTCTAAAGACAGGCCTGACTATGGTGGGTAAAGTGGTCACGCAGTTGGCAGGCACCATACCGGCAGGCACTCCAGATGAGGAGGGCACACCCCACAACACGAGCCGCCGTAGCCCCCACAACCCCGGTGTGGTCACCATCATTGACACACACAATGTTGGCGAAGGACAGGTTAGTCAAGTGTTCTTCTACCTGGTATTTTTATAGGTATAATAATACTGGATTTGAACACGGTAGTTATACTTTTAAATTTGTCCCCACATGACCGTTAAGACGATAATCACTTTTTCATGACAGCATCCGTTGCAGCAGGTCGATCTACAGCACGACAGGAAACATTAGGACATGTGCTCATTGGTGATTTTCTCAACAAACTCAGTGAATTTCCGTTGTGTGCTTCAACAACCTCCGGAGATAATGAGGGTCGCAAGTTTCTCGCATCAATAGTTTGAGGGTGAGAGACTGAATTTCAGAGTACTTTGAGATGAAGTTCAGAACAGTATCTGCAGAAATAAATCATCTTTTAAGAACTGAGATCACCGTCATTGACTTTGGCAACACTGCAACAATACTGAGTGTAAAGATTGGTGACAAATAAAAGTTAGAAACCTGAATCAACTGTGCATTTAGAGGATTCGGGCTGAACGTGAAAAATGAGGTCTTTGTTGTCATCAGATCCCAATTGTTCTGTAGTATAATGTTAAACGCTGCTCTTCACCAACACCATCATCAAAACACCAAGATAATAACAAGATAATATGAATATAAAGATTTTTATCACTATGATTCTTGAAGGATAGAAGGTTGGATAAGGTTCTTTAAAACCTGTAGCCCCCCCCCCTCACTGCACAATCTTAAACTAAAGCTGATGTGAGCTCACTCAGTTTCCCTTTTTGGAGCCTGCTTGGTGGTTAACCAGAAACTGTTACCAGGTGACCATCCTACTTAATTGAATGTCAGCTTCACTGCATTGCTAGCCCTCTAAATACTTACATTTCCCCTCAACTGGGCCCTTTATATACATGATGCATGAACACACACACACACACACAAGATTAAATTGGCATACATTTGGTCTTGGCTTCTTTCCTCTCTGCTCTTGTCATGTGTGACCCAGGTAAACATAACTTTGGCCTCTGCGGCTTTATGGGAAACTGGAAAATCTTCCAGGTCGGCTTTTTTCCCCTGCGGCTTGAACATACTCACACTCGTTCACCTCACTCCGCATACCTCACTGAAAGGTGTGACTTAGATTTGCTGCATATTTTAACAGCCGAGCTTTTAGCCAAACGTGGCTGTTTTAGCAGCCCTGGGTTATAGAGACACTCTGTAAACAGTTGGCTCTTAGTATGCAGTAACCTCACATGAAGCTCGGAAGTGTACCATGTGTCAGATGAGGTCTTGACATTGCATTTGTCAGCTTTTTTTCTGCACATAAAGCGCTGAGCAAATATTTTAGGCACTAAAAGTAAAGTGAGGACGCAAACATTATACCATAAGTAGTGTTTAAATGTAGGAAAGTGAGAAAAAATGCTAGCACTCATCTTAGCTGACACTTGGTAAGAGACCATGTTCACACTTATGAACAGATCCCTAATTCACCCGAGCTGCATGTGTTTAGACTGTGGCAGGAACACAGAACCTTCTCGCTGGTAAGCAACGGTGCCACATGTCCAAGGTTATACTAAAGTACAAACACAAAATGAACCTCAGACACAATTATCTGTGTCCTTCAGCGATGTTTCCCTGCAGAACCTTTGGCAGCACCGACAGCTTGGGCCTCTGCACTGAATATGCTACGTAACAGGATGTCAATTTTCATTCATTGAAAATCAATCAAATCAAATGCTCACCCAAATTGCATAAAGAGAACGATTTGCACACAATCTAAAATATAAATGGAAATATGGATATTGCTCAGTAAAATTCTCGATAGCTCACAGTGAGGCTTGACCTGGGCACAGTGAATATACATACGGTACATCAGTCTAACCCCACTCACGGTTTGAACCGTGCCAAGTTACCTTAATGTCCACAAAATCATTCAAAACTTGAATCCTTGGATTCTCCGGCAGCCACTCTAAACCAAGATTAATCATACTTCAGTAGCTGTCACATTTTTAATGAGCCGTGTTAGCATACACAGCACAGTTTGTCGGTGATGTAGTCACCACACACAAACTCCCTGCCTTCTCCTTCTCTCCTAGCTGGCCCTGTAGTCAGTGTTGTCTTATAAGCTAGACCTAAGCCTTCAGAAGCAGGCCTGCACTCTGTCACCGGCCGACACACTGTAACCATACACTGGCCATAAACACTGACTGGGCCGTGACGGCAGGGATGGGAAAGCTAGGAGTGGAGTAGAAATGGAGGGTGATGGAGGCGGTAAGGGCGGGTTGAGAGAAAGACAAAGGGGGTGGTTTCTAGGTGATTTTTTTTTTTGAGAATTGGGAAAGGCCAGGAATATGAGGTGAGACCCTATGTCAGCGTAGTAGTTCAGGATATTCTCATCTCCTGCAGGCTTTGAAAGTCCTTATTTGGGACAGCAGCTTCATGACACACACACACACACATGCTCTCCTGTGTAACAGGCTTGGTTGTCTGGAGGACACTCTTGTTTCAAAGGGCTCCAGCAGGATTCCCTCACAGAACAACATTGTCTGCCTGCAGCGTAATAAAAGTGATCTGCTTCATGTCACAGACTCTTTCCTTCATCCTATTCTCACATCAGTTTTCCTTTTACTTGTAGTCTGAGATGAAACCCCTTTAGACTTTTAACTTTAGAGGCAGTTTGTTGTTTGGACTCTAGTTATGTGAAGTAAGTTCATGCTGACATCATTAATGCAGTAATGCAGCTAAATATGACTCTTTGTATGTTTTCTCTCTCGTTCTCATGCACAATGTGGCCTCGTGTTTAGGACTAAGCTTATTTCTAATCTGTCTTGGTGGCAAAAGAGGTTTTCTGCCTGAACTCATCTTGGCTTTTGTTTGATCTGTCCCAATTTTGACAACGGATTTCATGCAGAGATTTGGGAGCGGCCTTAAAAGTGACAAACAATTACATTTTCTGAGCAAAGTGTCAGAAGTAGCAAGCCAATGTCAGCTGTGGCCAGTTTTTTTCTTATTTACGGGAAAACCCACTGTCATAGGGTATTGTCAAACCCACATGTGAAAAACCACATTATTGCCAAAGTAAATTTGTTCATATTCTTGTCTCCATTGTTGGACCATACCACATCCTCACTGGTCTCAGTACAGCCTTTTACTGGACAACCAACCCTAATAGATTGTGATGTTTCATAATTTATTCGGTGACGGCGGTGCATGCAGACCACATCCACACTAAAATCAAAACAATGTCCATCTAAACTATTTCATCCCTCCGTGTTCTTTGACCGGCCAGCCAGAGCAGCTGAGCCAAACGTTAGTGTAGGGTGTAAATGAAGTAAACGGAGGAGTTAAGCTAGTTAGCTTGGATTTAAAGGCTGTTTTGCCCTCTTCTGGCTGATGTCCAGTCACAGGGAAATGGAAAGGAGGGGTGAGAATCAGGCTACATAAAAAAACAAGCATGCCGAACAAGCATTTTGTCCCCAAATCAGTTTTACGTACACTGGGCATGCACTTGTTGTGTACACAGAAAGTTCTTAGTGGATATAAAGTGTTTACCAGATGCTGAGATATTAATTTTAAGATCTCAGCAATATAATCTGCCCAGATGATTCCTTAGCGGGTTTGTTATTGCTGTTTACATCAGGCTATTGTTTTCTTTTATATGTTGTCAGTAGCGTAGAGGGGGTGCCGCTGCAATTTTGAAATTTGTAGCCTATAATGAATCTCTAATCTAGAATTATACTCCAGCCACGAGAGGGCAACGGCACATTCAGAAATGAGTTTAACCTCCAGCTATTTAGCTGTGGTGTGATGTTGAAGAACACTGCTGTGGTGATGATATCAAACCAAACCAAACTGTTAAGTGAAATCCTGCAGCTCAGGGGAAAGTCCCATTCTGGTTTAATGTTCATATTGTTAGAAAATGATTTGGACTTTTTTTCTTTCTGTGTGTGTGTATGTGTGTGTGTGTGTGTGTGTGTGTATGTGTGTGTGTATGTGTGTGTATGTGTATGTGTATATGTGTATGTGTGTGTGTACCCTACAGGTCGTGGTGAGTGAGGACTCAGACGGAGAGGGAGTGGTGGCTCACTTCCCAGCTCATGACAAACCCATATCCTGCATGCAATTCAACCCCAGTGGTAAGACACACTTACGCATACACAAAAACACACACACATGTCCGCACGCACACACACACACACACACACACACACGCAGATGTTTTTAGGAAGGAGCTGGAACAGTTCAGAAGACAGAAATACGGACATATCACATTTCTTTTCGTTTATGTGAAATAAGCCTACAGTGATAATTTACACCCACTTGCTTTATTATTTGCTTTCTATAAAAAAAATTTAAAAAACTTCTGAGAAAGGAGAAGTTTTACTTGGATGAATATTATTGTGTGAATCATGAAGTAAAATATTTGTTTTATCATTCAAACTTTTATATTTAATTTAAAAAGAAGTGCAAACATCCAGTACAATGTGAACAGCAACTCACTGTGACCGACTGAACAGAGCAGTTAAAAATCTTTTTGTTTTCAGCCTGAGCAACTTGTCACCGGTGGAAGATTCTTACCGTGAACTGTTTGGCCTAAGCTGACCTAAACGTTTATTCACATGTTTGTTCCTGTTATATTTCATACAAATATAAACCAGCTCTATGGAATACGTTTCAGCGAAGGTATTCTTCTCACCCGTTTCCAAAATATTTACTTACCTCGACACTGTGCTGATGTACTCAATGATTGAATGTATCAGTGTGAGTATTTAACTTTGGTATCTCCGTTCCCACTTTCCGAGCATTGCTGACCTCCACCCGAAAAAAGAAAGGGACAGTAGATGCTTTGTCAGTGTGAACAGGCAACCTCGTCAGTTTGTATTGGATGTGTTGGGTTGTGAGTGTCCCTGATACTCCCGTGGTGTGTGTGGTGTGTGTTGTGTGTGCATGTGTGGTTAATAAAGGAGCTGTTGAGCGATGGCTCTCACCCCATGACCTCCAGGCCCCAAGAATCCGTCACTTACCCAGACATATATGACTAAACTTCACAGCTCCATCCAAGCAGGAACAGGATGATATTGAAGAAAAAGACAGACAAGAAGTGGTTGTTTGGATCTCCTCCCCGCTCCCACCTCACAAAAAAATATTTAATGATACAAAATCTGCTTAAAAGTTCACTAAAAGTACTGGAACTGTGAACATGCAAGGTTATAATTTATGTCTCCCAGTTGTAGTCCTTTTAGTTTCTTAAAGAACTAGAAAGACGTTCAAAGAATACGTCCCTCCACCAATGTTCTGTCTCAAAATAAACCTATAACGACTCATTAAAAGTAGCATTAAAACTGAATTTCTATAGTGTGAACTGAAAACTACAATCAATACACAAGATCGTGCAATTTCGAGTTGATTTGCCCTAAAAAAAATAATCAGTCTAACAAATGTATAGTCCCTGTGCTGCATTTGAAATACATTCCTATATCTGAGGCTAATATGAGGCCTCATCGTCTGTGTCAGACAAACTAATTAGGTATTTTCCGAAGTCGTTTTACTGCAAATGTATTATTTTTCCACCGCAGCTTAGCAAGTGGAGATCGTCCAGAGAACCACACAAAGACAGAGCAAAACAAACCAATGAATAATGCTGCTACATTTTTGAGGTGGATAGTCAAGACCAAAGTGCCTTTGTCCTCATTTCTAGTGTCATCAGTGACATTTTTAGTTTTTTTTTTTTTTAACCTTCTTTCCTTTAACATCCAGGCCAGAGAGCGCTACACAAGTGCACGCTCAGCAGCATCAAACAACTCAGTACATTTAGCACATCTAGTACAATTAGATTCAGTGTGTTGTGAAATGCTGAGTCAGGGAGTTGACAGATTCCCCCCGTGACATTTTCCACAGGGCACAGTCCGCTTCAAAATTCCAAACACACTTTTAATCTTTCTGACTCATTTACTCTGAGCCACATCTAAATCACTAATAAATGTTTAAATTACAACCAAAAGCGGCACCACAAGTGTAGCCTGCAAACACAGATTTCCCTCTTCTTTGGTTGCAGTTAGGGGCATGTAATGAGATTAGAATGAATTTCAACAGAGGCAGAGTAACTCCTCTTTTCCACAATCCAGAACTCCTTTCATCATTGTTTATTCTTTTATCCATTTTCATTTCGAAGCTAGCTGGTGTGGACCGTCCCATAATTACAGGCCTCTTGATTTGATCAGAACCCAAATCCTGAGCGATGCCTTCGCTGGTCTGGCTCCACGTGAAGTGAGGGGAAGTGCCTTTTACTGAACTACCTTCCTGGCCCTACCGAGGCTCCCTTCACAGTGGTCAAGCTCAACATGGCAGAAACCCGACGGATAGACTTACCAGGAAACAATGATATGACTCAAACAGAGCCTGGAAAGCCCAGAAGTTTTGGCTGGGAAGAGTTATGTAAGAAACCCCAGTGGCTTGTGTGTGTTGGAGGCTCTACAGAGGGCGGACCGGTGGCCGCCAGCTCTTGGTGTGGCGGCTGGCGCTTTGTGGCGCTTCGGTGGATGTGTGGATCTATTCCTAGTGGTGTAATTAGAGGGACGCAGATGAAGTGCAGTGGCAAAGCACTCTCTTTAACAGCTGCAGTGTGTGTGTGCTTGTTTTCTTTCTCGTCTCGTCCTCTTCACTTGTCCTTAACGATCCTTGACTTGATTAATAGGTACGATGCCAAGGTCAAAATACACTCACGTTTTGATGGCAGATTGTCCAACAGCTTGTGCATTTCTTTTGACTGTGAGTGGCACTAGATGGAGTGATTGATCCAGCAACCGTGCAAGGCCACACCCTCAGGTTTTTATTCTCTTTCTCTTCAGTCGTACTCAGGCTGATGAGCAGCAAGTGCTTTACATGCAGTTATAGAAAAAGTATCCAGATCAATAGCAACACCACAACGTAAACATGTTCATGACATGTTGCGCTCCTGCATGTAGAAACTTAACTCAATCAAACTTGCATAGATTTCGAGAAGACACACACATGTAATTATAAAAACTAAAAATATGAATTATGGAAAACAGCTCATTGTGTTGAATTATATGTTGATGCACTGATGTGTGAGCAGTATTTTAATATTATAGTCAGAGTGGAGCTAATAAAACTTTATACACGGTTGTAGTGAGCAGTGTATCTGAACAAATAAACGTGTAAAACAGTTTATAAAATGTTTTCTACGTCCAGTGCAGCACAATTTGCGGCCCTACAGTTTGTTCATATAACATACAATACTTTTCCCACTATCCAGTTACACACAACCAGACACATAATCTCCGTCTGGTCAGAAGAAAGATCCTGTTTATGTTAATTATTCGGTTGCTATCACTTTTTTCCCCAAAACATTTCTTGCTGCCTGTATTTTTAACCATGAACCAGTCACATCACTGGTGTTTGAACTGGATCCTGGTGTATACTTTTAGACCCTTGTGCTGTGAACACTCTCATTCATCCCCCCTTTTTTTTCAGACTCACAAACCCCATCAGCCCGCCACAGATTCACAGCTTGATTTTTGTGCAGCCATCTAAATGTTCTGAATATGGAAGTTTTGAATGCCCGATCAAAGCCAGGAGTAATGGCAGATGAATCAAGACTAAATCTCTCTCCACACGGAACTGTCCCATAAACCATATCCCTGATTTAGTAACAGGCCAGTCTAATGACTAGCCTGGCCCGTTGAGCCTGACCATTGAGGCAGCTGTGCCATGAAGGCAGCTCTCCGTGGTGTAATAACTCCGTCTCTCCATCTCACTGATGTGTGAAAGAAACCAGGCCGTCGCTGAAAAACCCGAGACCCACACGCACATGTTGAACACGAGGGGAATTCCCACACACAAGCAGCTTTCGCTCGGCCACACATTCAGTACGGATTGAGTTGTGTCTTCACACCAAGACAGTAATTAGCGCTCCCGGCCTGCTCTGATGTAATTTACAGCAGCTTCTTCTCCCATTATTTTTTACTGGGGACAACGTGGGCTGTTCCCCTGGCTCTGGATTTGACTTTGACCATTGTTGTTGGGTAATCATAATGATGATGTTGATGGTAATCATTATGTCTCTGTTTTTAGTGGCATGATGAATCTGTCGTTGTTAAAGAAGTTGTCAAAGCTCAGACTTGTTGCTCAGCTGTGTATGCCACCGTGCCAGCAGAGACAGAGAGGGCAAGAAAGTACTTTAAGGTTTTGTCCATTACTTTTGATGTGAATTTGTCTGATGACATGATGTGGTTTTCTTCAAATATATCCATATTAAGAAATACAGTGACAATTCTTTCTGGATTACTGGCCATGAACCAGAAGCCATCCACGGAAATTGTGATTGTTTGGGCACAAATGTATGTTTGTACTTTAGGAAAAATCTATGTTTGCACATAATGGCTAAAACATTTGTATATAACTTCTGTAAAAGTTACCCCATCTATAATTTGTTAAGTCTGAATTAAAGACTTACTGATATCTAGTCTGATATATTTAGGGGACTGATTTCTACATGAGTGTGTAATTTGGTGCCGATTGATTGAATTTAAGTGGATAAACAGGACTTGGTAGAGGTATAAGTACTAATGAGTTCCATTCTAACTCTAAATATTACTTGTTTGAGCATACGGTCGAAAGTATAGAGTAATATTTAGTCGGGAATCTGATGGTAATTCTGATTAAGTAATGTCTTCCTGCTTCATTTTTTTTTTATTGTTACCATATTATATTTGAGACATGTTGCACTTGACAAACGTCTCCTACCGGAGTTTATTCGTTTGACGATTCAAACCAAAGAAGCATCTCAATGACGAGCAGAGGTGATGTCATTGTACAATTTCTGAATCTTTGCCTGTAAAACCACTCAGCTGAACAGAAAGTGAGTTTTTTTTTTTTTGCCTTTGTGGACATCTGCGTAACTGCAGTGTAAACAGCATTACAGCTAGATAAGACACATGATGGTACAAAGTCGTGCACTGCCAGACTGTCTAACTCTGGTTATCAAAACGACCACTAAACTTGTATGAGATGTCAGACATGTCTGCTGCGTATGAAGAGCAGCCCACGGCCACAACAGAGACCTCACCACATGTATCCTCATCCAAGAGGTGATGATATCATCCACCGGCAGTGT